CTGTGAAAATTCTTTATTGCCATGTTTTAAATATCTTGGATACACCGTATGGAGGTGCTCTCAATTGCAGGAAGCTAATACAGATAAGATGAATAGGTGTTCCGAATGAACAATAATTTAGCTTCCGAATATTCCTTCATAGACTATATTTATAACTAATATATATGCGTGAACCCTCAGGGGTTCACGCAAAAATTATAAACTGCATATAAGATACCCTATTGATCATTCACCCCAAGTCTGGTTGAAATTAGATTAGTAGTTTCAGAGAAAAATTAATGATCTATGATAAAGTTACGACGACGACGGACACCTAGTGACGGCAACTATCCGTTGCGAAATGGTCATGATATTATTGTTCTCTTACTACTGCATCGTTCATTCCCTCCACAATACGTAAGTGGAATAAGCTTGATCCAAAAATTCGCAGCATCGACTCTGTATCTAAGTTTAAGAAAGAGTTGAAAAACGATAGTCTCCTAAGTAAAGTTGAAACGTTTTGTTTGTATAGTCCGAGGAAATTGAATATTATTTAAACTCAATTGCGATGATCCGCTTCATTCTTAAACTATGACCTTTTTCGAGCTAACATTATAAATGATCCTTCTTGTCAATGTGGGTCAGATATTGAGGATGTTCATCATTACTTTTTCGTTTGTCCAAAATACACTTCATGTAGGAAAACTTTACTCAGTAATCTTAAAACTCTTAATTTTCGAAAACTTGGAACTTTCGAGTGAACAAAATATCTGAATTTTCAAACATGTTCAAAATTTCATCAAAAAGTCGAACAGATTTCTTGTACCTTCATAAAGCGTTATTGATACTGACACGGAACATCATCATCATCAACGCCCACGTCAACAGAATTATATGACTTTCCAATCTTTCCAACTTTTTTTCTCTTCTTTTCTTTTTTACCTATAGCTCGTATTATATTCTTTTAACTGTTTGCATTACATGCATGCTCATTATACTATCATTTTATATATTTATATTGTATGATGTAGAACACTTCATAAGTATGATTTAATTGTGTCTAATCCATTTTGCTTTAATTTAGCAAATAAAATATGTTTCAACTAAGTGATTGCAATAGCTCTCATGAACCCATGGACCAGATGAGCTAATAACATCGATGTTCTTTATGAATTTCTTCCTCAATGCAGCCCATTTCTAGTCTGCAAATCTAATGGAGCATGGAACATGAAATCAATTGCGAACAACTGTTTGATAGGGTCATCATTTAAAAGAAGAAAACAAAAACCAATGAGTTTTTAAAGATCTCAACCCTCCTCTTTAAAAGCTATTGTGTAACCCCAAGGGTGACTTGGGGATAGAAATATGGTCACCACAGGTCTTCTTCCGACCGACAGTAAAACCCTTGCAAAAGTGGGCCGTTCGTTTGGCTGTGCGGGATGTACAAGTACGCAGCCACGTCCGATCAGAATGGGACGTTAAATCTGATGTCTCGTGTAGTGAGAGTGCCACACTCTCTGCACGTTAAGAACCCTTGCAACAACTTTTTAGGGGTGCGTAGGTGGCCTGTTGTAAAGAAAAATTTATGTCCCTATCAAATATACCCCCTTATTTTCCAGTGGCAGTCTAAATTTCCCGGACCTTCATCCCGGACGGCCCTTATTACAGGACCTACCTATTGTATTTATTGTTAATTTGTTCTCGTCCTGAACATGCATGAAATATTTGCCCCTGGACGTTAAGCAACCAACAATCAATCAATAAAAGCTATTACAATGTAACGGCATCTATCTGAGCTGTACAACAATGTTCCTGCAGTGGTATCGATACATCTGAACCGAGATTTCAAATTTCCAAAACTCCTCTCAACTCATATTGCAACTGTTATAACGTTTTCCTGTCTTGTTGTTGGATTTGAAACTGGTGTAAGGAGCCAAGGTCGAAGGGAATATCCACTGTCCCCAAGAAGCCATCTATCGCTTATGTCTAAGTCTACAAACATTTCACATAGTCTTGAATTGTGCAATGCAAATGACTCATGTGTATTCCCAGGCCACTTTGCTACTATGTTTAAAAACTTCATATTTGAGTCGCAAACTCCCTTTCATTGAGCGAATGGTATTTTTTTCTGTTCACGTATATATAAGTGTGCATCAACAGTTGGGCTTTTGATACGCACATGAGTACCATCTACAGCGCCAATGACATTTGGGAAATATGCGATGTCATAAAAACCTTGCTTTACAGCATGAAGAGATGCTTGGTCTGTGGGCATCGAAATATATTGATTGCAAACATTCTTTAAACATTGTGTGACGTCATGTTTTATATTAGAAATACTTGCTCTTGATATACGGTGGACGTCTACATTAACCAGCTGAAAGCTCCCAGTCGCATAAAACCCTAAAGCCACCATTATTTGTAATGAGACAGGAGAATGGCATGGTATCTTATAGGCGGCCTAGCGAGTTTATTTTGAAACTTTCTACAAAGTTGTAGAATCATTGGTCTAGAAAGTCTAAATTTGCGAATAATATCAACATCGTACAAATAATCTAATGGATTGTCTCTATCTCTAAACACCCTGTTTCGGCAAATGTTATTTTCTCGTCGTCTTTCATGTTATGGCAGTATAATCAATTTGTTGATTGTGTCCATTATCTGGCAGAAACATGAACATACACAGCGGCCATATTTGTTGTTTTTATTTCGACTTAGGACATCGTAACTTTTAGGATTATCCTTAGACCATCCTAAGACACCTATGTATACATCCTAACTTTAGGACCAAATTTAGGACATATTTTATCTTAGTAGACTTTCGTTAACCTGACTTTGGACTAAGACGTGTCCTAATACCATCATAAGACAGTCCTAGTCCTAAGACGGCTTCGTTGACACGGCCCCTGGGTAATAACAAAAATAATATAAAACAGCGTAAATTAAAAATTAGTACAACAAACATCAATTACCCATATAATACTCGTATCATAAATAAAACATCAACAAAAAAACACATGCAAGCAAAACAATAATAAAAATAGCGTATCAAAGAAAGTTCGCTGTTAGCTAAACATTACTTAAATTGGAAAGGTGAAATTATGCCGTCCTACACTGTAATAACTGTTGCTGTACTTCGGTGATATTTCATACAGCAACGTAACAAACTATACAGGAAAACACGATCTTGTACAGTTCCCATACTAAATTGGTACAAAGGTTTTACAATACCATCTCAAAAATCAAGCGATTCTAATTGTATCAAATCAAATACTTCAAACGTCAACTTAATTATGATCAGTAATGATGATAATCATGGGATTGTTACGTTTCTATTGCGTCTACTATCTCCTGCTAAAGAGCCAATAGAATCAAAGATTTTTTTATAAGATAAATGTTTGTTTGCTTGGTGTTACAGGCGCGGATCTAGTCATTTTGAAAAGGGGTTCCAACCCTCGGAACACTATAGAAACGTTCACATAATTAAAAAAAAAAAAAGATTGAAAAAAAAGGGGGGGGTTCAATCCCATCCTGGATCCGCCAATGTGTTAGCTGAACGCCCAATATCAAATATTTTGAGCATGCTTTTGGACAAGAACAATTATTTGAAGGCATTTCAATAGGCAATGTGTTCGACTTGAAAAAATGATAAGCTTGAGAAATTTTACAGCCATCGAAAACGAAATTTTGTTACATATGTCTGACATTGACTTCTCCTACGAACTATTAATCCAGCTGTCTTAGTGTGCAGAAACATGACACTCCCTCAATGTCATGTGACTAATCATCACGTCTATTTGGTTAACTTTTAGTTAAGAAAGCACGATTGATGCGTCCAATTTCTTTTATTTCTTCTTCTTGTTTTATGTATTTTGGTTTTGCATTCTATAAAAAGTTCACTTTCTTTATTCAGAATCTAAAATAATTAATTGTTTAACATAAATATTTTAAGCAGAAATAATTCGAAAAAATGGTTTTAAAATGTTTATTATTTTATTGTGTAAATCAAACTTTCGCGTAATATGGACCTCAAAATATTTTTCTTCTTTCGTTTGTGTAGGCTTCCTACAAAAAATACACCCTATATGGGTAAAAGTAATATATGCGCAATAGTGATTTTTTTTTATGTTTCCCAACTTTTGACTCTGAGGTTCTAACACGTTATAAACGCAGCAACTTCTGTGTTTTAATTTGAATTTCATTCCAATGACCCAAACGTAAAGTCAATATGACAAAATGTCCCGACAACTTTTTGAACTTCTGAAAGTATCACAAGTGAATGCGGGTGTTGCGTAGGAATATGTAGTCGTACTATCATAAGTGTCAGCTTGATCACCATTGGGTGAAGTAACTGTGCAGAAAAGGACCGGATCTATTTTTACTTTTTTTGAAATTTACAGACGATTAAAAATGCGTAGTTTACGTAATATTTTAGTTCTGCATCAGACATGTTTCGACAGAACAAATTCAAATAAACTGTATTTTATATTACAGTAGTAATGATACCGAGATATAATTTTGTTTATGCATTTAAAGTTCAAATTGAAAATTGAATAATTAATAATAATATTTAAAGTATCGTTTCAAATTTATCAAATGTTGACAAATTTATTTAACATGATACGATAACAGGTTTGAACTAAGACTATTGCATTCATACATTTGTATTGGGGAATGACAAAATTAATGGAATATGGAAAAAAAGATAACATTATAATTCAACTTTCCACTATGCATACCTTGATATAATTTTCCTTCCGAAAAAGAAAAGAAATGCTGAAGCCTGAGTACGTTTATATTCCTAAAGAATAAAGTTATCTACGCCAGTGAAAAATCGAACTACACATGAGATTTTTTTTTTATTATTTTAAAATTTAAATTCATATTTCAATTTCCATCATTTTTTTTTTATAAAAAATTGTATTTTGCAAACATGAATAGGTATTGTGCAGTGTATTTTTTTCGATTATAAAAAGTGTTCAGTCTGTCACAAACAGTTTGTCATCCAAAGTTCACTGAGCAGTTCTCAAATCAATTTAATCGTCATTCCTGTCCATTTTGGGTTCAAACTAAACAGAGACAAAATGGAAGTGTACGAACGTTATGAAAGATTTTTGAAAAATCCATTTAAGATTCATCTTGATAATGAAAGAGGTTTGTTAATTATAAATAATGTTAATTCTTAGTTTGAAATAATGCATAATTAATTTTGTTACAATATAAATAAACATCGTGAAAGGTGAAACATTGGTGTTTCTTTCCGGAGTCGAAGTCTGATATTTATTATTGATTTGTCGATGGTTGTTGAACGTCCAACAGCAAATATTACATTCATACTCAGGACAATAACACATTACTGAGATATAAATAAATAAACCCTGCTTTGTACTATACCGACACGAGGAGTCAGATTTTTTAGGTTCATCAGAAGAAATCGACAAATTTGGCCGTGTTTACACACCAAAATTTACTCCGAATAAAGAAAAACCTAAGCATCTGGGAAAGTCATGGGAGGAACTGGATAAATACAATTTAAATGCAATTTATGTGACAGCAAATTAAAACCTTTCCTGAATTTTGATATTCCTTTTTTCCAAGCAAGCAGATGATGGTAAAATAAACAAGCATCTGCATTTCATTTGATACATGTTCACAGTTTAAATCACATATTGTTGTCCTGTAGATATCTATCCTATTTTCGATTTTAATCCATACAATTTCTACCAAAACTTAAATGAGGGGACGTCTCAAACAGTTTTCAAAACTTGCTTTATTACAGCACCCTCTGTGTCGACGAAAAGAAGTAATATCAAAAGCATAGAATTTTTTTTAGACACAAAATGCATTTGAATATTTATATTATCTAGTTCATACCATGTCTTAAAACTGTTTATAATACACAGGTTTGTCTATAATCAAGAGTAAATTTTGTTCAATTCCTTCTGATGAACCTCAACGTGATTACTGAAAAGTGCAAAAGAAAACAGTCCGACCCCACGAAGAAGTAAATTAAATTGATTATCTTGCCACCTTTATCTCAAATACTAATCAAAGTACTGAAGTACTGAACATCGGATGACCGCAGGTTCTTGTGGATGGTCAAAAGCACATGTCACAGAAACAGATCACATCTCTATACCTGAAACTGAGGTTAATTTACAGATATTTTTTTTTCTTATACAAGTTCGTGCTTGGATGATGAATAAATGACAGGAAATTCAACCTCACCGTAATAACTATTATATTGTAGTGATACAAATCAGTATACCTTAGACTATTATACTAATATAATAATAGTTCCAGAGAATACACTGGTTTGTTGTTATATATTATATTAATATTACGGTTGCATGTATATTTAATTTTCATCTATTTGTATATCATACTATTCTACTATTATTATAGTGTAATGCAAGTGCATGGTGGACACTCTTCTGTAAAAATAAATCAAAGTCTTAAAGGCTGTAAAAGCAATTGTTACCATGTTAATGTTTTGTGGACTTTTATTTTTCATCCATATATATAAGAATTAAACCTGACAGGACAGGAGTGTTGACTAGTGAGAAGCAAGACGGTTTTAACTTTATATCAATATAAGACTTTAGCAGGAAATCATTTTAAATATGTTTTATATTTCACAAGGAGACAACAAGTTTACCAGGCTAAAGTTGGGGTTAATTATACATGTGCTGAAACATATAACTAAAAAAAAATCATTATGGATTATCCCCTGGTAGTGTTTGTAACTGGGCAATAATTTCCTTTATTGATTTAATTTAATTTACTTGATTTCATAATTAATTTAAATTAACCATTCAGTTAAAACATTTCAACTTTCCAGACGCAAATGTTGAAAAACGGGACAGAAATAAAATATCTTACAAGACATAAACATGTAAAAAATAAATATATATTTCAGCTTACTAAAAATATTTTCATAATGTTACTTTGACGTCATTTCTTAAAACTAAGTCCCAAACATAATTGCTCAGTTGACATGTGTCATCCTCATGCGATACGAGATAACTATAATTCTGATGCAATCCCGAAAAGGGGGGTCATCAAAAACAAACATGACATTAAATTGTCATTATACGAACTAGAACAAACAGCTCTATGTTGCTTTGATATTTATCAATTTTCAGGAAACGTGAAATAAATTTCAGGTCCATTTCATTATAGTGCCTAACAAGATTGTGTTAGGTAGACGAAATTGACCTTAAAACGATCGTATTGTCTTTTGATGTCCACAAAATAGGCAGATCGGACATATAAGGACTTTATCTAATGACTACATAAATTTGGGATTTATTATTATTATAATATTCTAATGAAACTGAAAATTGTATTTTTTTTTTAGGATAAACAACAATTTTACCTGGCGTAGCCGTGCATAAATGTTATTCTGCATTTATCTTCGAAAAATGGCGTATTTAATGGAAAAGAACGTTAATACAGTAATCTTTCTCTTTTTTCTCCGCAATAGGCTATCAAAAATAATTTATCTAATGTGTATGTGGAAAATTATGTGAAAAGATAAAAAGTGGCAATTGTTACCTTTCATACCTTAAGTTTCATTCATCTGATTCTGACCAATGCTTATATACTAAATATCTATTTATATGCCGCTATTATTGTTGTTGTTACCAATAATGTAAATCAATTGTATCTGATTTTATGCCCTTTATGGGCCCTGTAATTTGGGAAATAAAAAAAAAAATCTATTCATTGATAAAACATAATATGGACTGGTCCAGTGTCCAGTTTGCAGGTCATTTAATTTTCTGTACACATTCATGCACGCTCTGATTTAATCAATATACTCGTACGAAAAAGCATGAACAGTTTGAAGGTAATCTAATAATAACTTAATCTAATCAAATTGCAAATTCAATAACAATGTCAAGTCCACATCATAATGAGTAATAGAGGTAAACTGGGTAGGGAGAAAATGACAGATATTTCAAGTTAATATTTATGCAATAACGAATTAAAATTTGTCAACCAAAAGTTTTGCTACAATTTCAAAAACATGTCGTTCTGTATGGGTATAGTTTTCGGATCTTTCATTAGCGTATTTAAGGCTATAAATGTTTGGGCTTCAAAAGTTCACACAATTATTGACTTTATACAGAAAATTCGTCCTTGTAAAACATTTAATAGTTCACAAATGATACGCGATTTTAAAGTAAAATTATTTCTTAAAACACTGCAAAAAATTTCATTCATATTGATAAAGTGGTATCGTCATAAAGTGCGTTGAAATGAACAGTGGTATAGCAAACATCGAATTCCCTCACAAAATGTTATCACACACTACAGTAAGGGGAGTCAGTTAAGTTTGTCTATTTTTAGATACTATACAGGTAATCATTTGACACTACGTATACAACCTGTGTGACCTGTGTAGTGATTTTGATTTTACGATAAATTCATGAATGAACGATAATTTTATGAATGAACATGAGCACCTGACCTCTTTCTTAAACACCTATTAAACATATAAAACCGTACTTAATAAGGAGATAATTCAGTCAAATTTTCAGTACTAAATCAACAACTGAAATGATTCCATTTTTTGATGAAACATCGTACGAACGGAGAACGGAATCGCAGGTATAAAAATGCACTTTTTTCCCTTGTAATGACCGCGGATCTATAATTTTTATAGATCGGTTGAAATCCCAAAACTAATTTGCATAATGGAAATTTAGGCGATAACAATACATCGGAATGACCCCAAGGTCATCCTCTGTAAAAATAATAATATTTAAAAACTTTTAAAAAAAATGAAAATTGTTCTATGATAATAAATGTTTCAGTTTTACTTAAAAATCAAGTAAAAAGGCTATGTTGGTTTTCTCATTTGAATTATTTTACATTTTGTTATGTCGGGCCTATTATAGCCTGCTGTGCGGTATGAGTTTTGTTCGTTGTTAAATGTCGAACGGAGACCTGTAGTGCAAACACCGAGGTTTTGAGTTCCAATTCTGCACATGACAGGTGCATTCGACTCCAATCCTTATTGACTACGATTGTCAGTTTCCTGGTGAGGGTCGGCGGTTCTCTCCTGTCATCCCGGCTTCTTCTACCAACAGCACAAATAAACACTGAAGCCACGATATAGCCAATAGTGCTGAAAGTGGCACAGTTTTAACTTATAAGTTTGATGACTATTAAAAGTAATTTAAGTTTTGCATAGGCATTTTTTCCCTCTCAAATTGGTGCGGGTATTTTTTTTATTTCAAACAAAGTGTACATATTTTTCAACACGATACCCTAGGGTAGTGCTCGACTATTAATGTAGGATCATACACAAATTTGAATGAATTGAGATGTTGAAATCTACTGGAAATATTAAAGCGACTGAATAATATATTCAAAATACTTTTCAATGATTTTACACATAATTATCCTAAGATAAACATGATAAAAACGTTATCATTTAGTTTGTTATTGTAAACAACTTTTATGATGATTGTATCTGAAAAACAACAAAATTAGCATTGCTTTACTTCCCATAGATTTTTTTTTGGGGGGTTAAGAATGTCCTTTTAATTTATTTTGAAAAATACGTAAAATCTGTCCAAATCAATCTGAATGACAGTCTTGAGGGATTTTAATGTTGTCTGGTGTTTAGAAAAATACGTCCTTATGTTGTGAGGAATTCAAAGTACACATGAAGCTGTGATATTTTGAATTGGAGTATTTGGTTCTTTGTAAACATGAGTCATTTAGTGTAAAAGCAAAACAAATAGGATAGAATATCCGGGTAGGTATTCATGATTACCAAGTTATCTTGCGATAACATGTACATGCATCACATTGAAAATACGACACTGCGTAATTTAACTTATTTGTCTGTTTAATCAATAATGCTTGTTATAATCTTTTTTCACGTATTTGTTTGTTATGCTATTTTAAAACTGTGGTTAACTTTATTTTGATAAAATAAATCTACCTATATGCACGTATTAATCTATTTAGTTAGTGTGGCATTCTGACGTTGTTAAGTATTTTGTTTTTTGTTTACGAAAAATTATTTACGGAAAACCATTGAAATTTAGGATCCTGGTGCACCATGCAGAACTCATGCGTAGTATTAGAGCTTATCTTCGAAAGCTTGATTCCTTTACTATTGAAGAGATTGTACATAGCTCAGATTGAAGTTCAATGAATGAGTACTAGTAGTTTTAATCAAAAGGTATTTAAAGGGGCATTAGCTACCAAATTCATTTCCACTAAAATGACTCAACCTCTTTAATTTGATTTATAACATACTCAATTACCAGAATTACAAAAGTTTCACAGGAAACAATAAGCAATGCATTAAATCTTAATAAAAACAGAATTGTTATGAGTATTTTAGGATCAGTTGACATCGAATTAACCGGATAAGAAAGATTTTAATTATGGGCTATATCAATCAACGAAATGATTCTTCCAGGTGGCTCGCTTAGTTCACTTTTCAATTTTTTGGCATTCTTTTGTTTATCCTTATTTTAACTGAACATGCTGAGCACATGCACAACTCATCTCCAACTTAGGGTGAAATTAAAGATTACATGCATACAAACCAAAATGAGGTAATATCATTGTCTTGCAAGATGTTTATTTTTAGCTTATTTTTACAAAAATGAACTAATTTTAAAACTATTAAACAATTATTATTTCAATAATTCGCTTTTATTAACGTTTGAAACAACATCAAAAATCATACTTTATTTTTTTTGGGGGTATAAATCGTAGCTAATAGCTCTTAAAGAAGGGGAATTTATAGATTTGCAACATAATATCTCGTTTTCAAACAGTTTATTTGACATTCGTTTTGGAACAGTGTATCAATATTGAGTTTTCTGACAGTGCAATGTATAGATGTTACGCCATCCCATGTTTACGAGTATGCCTTCCAGCAAAAAGATAGACTTTATTAGTGTTTCCCATTGATGAAATTAGCCTTTATTTTCCAAATTTTTGATGATCTCTGTCTTACAACGGATGAAGGGTAGCTTATGTAGACAATTATTGACAAGCATTAAAGAACGTATATTGAATTCAAAATTATTATTAGTATTTGATCGTGTTGATGGTTGCTGATTCTTTGATGTTTACCAATAATTAGCTAACAAGACCCAAATGGCATATGGCAAGTGTAGGCTATTACCATCATTTGGCGTCCGTCGTCTGTCGTCTGTTATTTTTAATATGATATTCTCTGAAATTACTCGGCAAATTTAAACCAAACTTTGCCACGATCATCTTTATGTATCTAGATAAAAAAAAAACATTGTCTTATGATTCCACTTGCCAACCAACATGGCCGTGAATAGTAGAAATAGAACATAAGGGTAAACATGAATAATCGCAAAAGCCGTTATCGATAGAAAAAATGCGGCAGGTCAAACGTTTTAAAGATGTCAAGATCTACCCACTGTTCATTTGACCAAAAAAAGACAACTCCTTATGGGAATAAATGACGATTTTTTATAATTGTTTTAATATAGCCTTTGCTATAATCTTGAAAACTTTAATATATAGAAACATTTTACAGCTAAAATGTGCTGCAGGGATAAGATCTATACATAAGTCAAAAGACCGAAATAGTCAATCGATTCCTTATAGGAGTAATTGCCATTCAATGACTATATTTACCATTTTTGTATTCTTGGCTATAATCTTGAAAACTATAATAAATAGACAGAAATAGTAAAAATTATCAGCAAGACAAGATATGACTGAAACCTTCAGTCGATTCATTTAAGAAGTTATTGCCCTTAAATGATGATTTTTAAAACAAAATTTTAAATGCTTTACCTTATATCTTGAAAACTATATATTAAGTTAGACGGAAACTTTGAACAGCAAAAATGATCAGCAAGACAGGATTTTGGTACACACAGTTTCCATTCAACAGAAATATTCTTGTTGCATTATATTTTACTCAAAATACTAGTAAAGCGATTCAAGCTATAGTTTTAGCGTAAGTAAATGTATACATGTACCTTTGATCACATCCATTTCAAGCTATGATTTAAATTGCTACAAGGCAGCATTATCACATTTTATTGGATTATTTTTTATGGTATTACATTTTAACCACATCAGTAAATCAGCATTGGCTGGATAATCAGCGTTTTTTTTTTAGTATTTGAAACACAGAGAGAGACAAGTAATCTTTCGCCACTACCAATTACCAACAGCTCTAAAGCAGATATCACCTATGATAAAGAACCAGAACATTTTTCACAGCTGCAGAGGTATTGTTTTATGGACAGTATAAGTATTAACCACGTTCAATCCTACAAAATGAAAAAGTAGTTCCATACCAATCAAAATTAAATTTCGGGTTTATTCCTTTTTCTTCAGAGACCATGCAACAGGTTGCTTCACACGTTTACTATAGCGGTTTTTGTCTCGCCTTGACGGAGTCAAAAAGCGAGACATAAGTATGCTGTTTCCGGCGTCGGCGGCGTCAACCTTACCTTACCTTACCTCTGTATCTTTACCCCCTTCAAAAAAGAACCACACAAGTTCTGTGTGTTGAACAGGTGCTTTGGGTGGCGGTGCATATTATTTACAATAGTGCTGTGACTGTGGATCCCATCACCACATCCATGAATTTTGGATCATCCTTCCACCATTATGTACATTATTTACATATATGAATATCGTTAAAGATAGTATTTGCAATCCGCAACGACACATCCCGACATTTTAAAAGTTATATATGTTATCATTAAAAGTTCATGGCGATTTTTATCAAAGTTAGAAAAAGTCTTTCCACACGGGATTTTGCGTTAATATATAAAAGCGACGCCTGATTAATCGTTTAAAATCTAAATGTATTAGTTTGTGATTAGGTCTAGTTCATGGTGAACCACTAGTGGTAGGTAAATGATATTTGGTATGCAGTTGTATTAGCATTGGCACATCTCATTACCATGGAGATTATTTGGCCCCGCCCCCTCAGTCAAGGTCTATTGACTTTGAAACTTTGCTTAGTTTACATGTATTAGTTTGTGATTAGGTCAGTTTATGGGGAACCACTAGTAGTACATGTAGGTCAATGATATTTGGTATGCAGTTGTATAAGCATTGGCATAACTCATTTCCATGGAGATTATTCGGCCCCATCCCCTCATTCATGGTCTATTGACTTTGAAACTTTTGCTTAGTTTTCCGTGACGTATTAGTTTGACTGTGATTAGGTCAGTTTAAGGGGAACCGTTAGTGGTAGGTCAATGATAATTGGTATGCAGTTGTATAAGCATTAGCACATCTCATTTCCATGGAGAGTATTTGGTCCTTATCCCTCAGACATGGTCTATTGACTTTGAAACTTTTGCTTAGTTTACGTGTATTAGTTTGTGATTAATTCAGTTTAAGATGAACCACTAATGTTAAGTCAATGATATTCGGTAAGCAAATGTATTGGCATTTGCAAGTTCCATTTCCATGGAGATTATATAACCCCACCCCCTAATTATGGTTCATTGACTTTGAAACTTTTACATAGTTTACAAGTTAATGTTTGTGTTTAGGTTTGTTTAAAGGGAACGACTTACGAAAAGTCAATGGTATTTGGTTTGCAGTTGTATTAGCATTGGCACATCTCATTTCCATGGAGATTGTTTAGCCCTGTACCTTCAGTCATGGTTCATTGACTTTGAATATTTGCATAACTTACATGTTAAAGTATTGCTATTTTAATTTCAACATTTGCATTATCAAAATAACAAATAGGCGAGACATATTTCTGTGTTAACAGTTTATTAAACAATACGATAAGTGTTTTCAACCTTTTAAAACCCAAGCAGTGATTCTTCCTTATTAATATAGCTGTTTTGAAAATCGTTGTTTGCCATTACTCTGCCCTCAGACCACCTATTAAATTCAGAAACTTATATACAAGATCATCTGAATTACGTATGGTTATACGTCAATGAAACAGCAACCAATAGACAAAAACAATCAAATGACATCTAGTGGACAACATTCAGTCTTTAACAATAGACAGATGTTCGTGCTTATACAATATACCAAGCTCTAAACCTTTCCGAGTCATATAAGTCGTGAAAAAATTAAACGATCAAAATGTATGGGCCATCTAAAAATCATCCGTTCTACAGTAAAACCCATGAAAATAAGGGGCGTTTGGTTGTGCTGGATGTATGAATACGCAACACAGTGTCCTGTCGGAAAGTGGACGTTAAATTCGATGTATCGTGTAAGGAGAGTTCGACTCTATCTACACTTTAAAAAAAAACCCTTGCAAAAACTCGGAGGGGTCCTGCAATACAAGATACCTGTTCCTATCCATATTGATATTTGTATTTATTAACTGAATCATTTGTAAAATAACTTACAGTTCTCATAGTTCTACAGTTATAACTTAGTTGTTTTATATGTAACAAAAATTTAACAATACTTTTAGATATTTGGATGATATATTGGCTCTCAATAATGACGACTTCAGTATGTATACTACAGAAATTTATCCTGTTGAACTTACTTTAAATAAAGCTAATACTAACAATGACCACTGTCCTTTCCTCGATCTTGATATCTATATCATTAACGGGAAGCTTAATACAAAAATTTATGATAAAAGAGATGATTTTTCATTTCCTATCGTTAATTATCCATTTTTAGATGGTGTTTATATATTTCAACTTATACGATTCGCTCGTGTATGTAACAACGTATTAGATTTTAGCGAGAGAAATTTATGTATTACTGAAAAATTATTACACCAGGATTTTCGATATCATAAACTAGTCAAAACATTTACTAAATGTTATCATCGGTATAAGGACATCATTCGTAAATATAACTCAACATGCAGATATCTGATACGTTCGGGTATTTCACATCCAATCTATTATGGTAATATTCTTTACAAAGCACAAAAATGTCAGTATTCACCTCAAAAGCTAACAAAACCTTTAAACAGACCTATTAAGAAGGGATATAGTTACGATACTGTTGTCAGGTCATTAAAGAATGCATATTTTGGCTTTAATATTAATTCACTTATAGGATCTTTGCATCGGAATTACACACATTTATTCTAAAACCAGTTGTTGGCATGACACGGGTTATGTTCTTCTCGTATATTTTATGACGGTATAATACTAAACCCCTATCAGGAGGGATTGTGCCTGATATTCATATGATGAAGACATAATCTTTTAATCAGTTTAATTGAGGTCTGGAGCTGGCATGTCAGTAACTGCTAGTAGTCTGTTGTTAATTATGTATTATTGTCATTTTGTTTATTTTCTTTTGTTTCCTATTCTGACATCGGACTCGGACTTCTCTTATACTGAGTTTTACTGTACGTACTGTTGTGCGTTTGTTTTTTCTACATTGGCTAGAGGTATAGGGGGAGGGTTGAGATCTCAAAAAACATGTTTAACCCCGCCGCATTTTTGCGCCTGTCCCAAGTCAGGAGCATCTGGCCTTTGTTAGTCTTGTATCATTTTTAATTTTAGTTTCCTGTGTATAATTTTGAGTTTAGTATGACGTCCATTATCACTGAACTAGTATACATATTTGTTTAGGGGCCAGCTGAAGGACGCCTTCCGTTGCGGGAGTTTCTCGCTGCATTGAAGACCCATTGGTGGCCTTCGGCTGTTGTCTGCTCTATGGTCGGGTTGTTGTCTCTTTGACACATTCCCCATTTCCATTCTCAATTTTAACCATTATATTGAAAACTGATTATGTATGTGGTAGACACTTATAATATGACATGCATGTACCAAAAAGCAATTGTTCTGGTAATATATCCAATATCAAGACCATTATTTCGATATTCACTGTAAAATATTCAGTTTATAAAATCATAATTCTATGTACGTGTCAAGAGGTTGATAATTAAAAGTAACTTTTAAAATTTTTACCTTTTATCGAAGGGGCCCTTATCATTATTAATTTCTCTTAATAATATTGTCCCGCTAACTGAGACTGCATACGCATCAAAATTACAGAAACAAATATGAAGACACATAAAAAAAACTGCACCATACGACAACCAAAGAACAAAATGTAGCATATATATTTAAAATTATCTCTTCTTAAAATCAAACTCTTCTGATAGTCAATAACACAAATGTTAACAGTCAAAAATATCATTGATATTTTTACTCTTAAATTTGATAAACTTACCAAAAACGTCTTCCATCATCTTCGTGCTTACCAGGGAAATTATCAGAAGTTTATGGAAATTTAAATGTCACAAAAATTAAATGTTAAGTTAATAGAAATTACTACACCTAGCCTTAGCACCATGTGGATTTATTCATTAGAATTTGAAAAGGAAACCTCCGCGTAAAAAAGATTATTAAATGCTTCATTACTTTAAGTTGACTACAATGGAGTTCGAGGTCTGAAATGCAATTTTGGTTTATCATGGAATAGAAAAGAAAGAAAAGAAAAGATAGTATGTATACATTTATGACAAAAAACCTCTACACGTACTTGAAAAAGTAAAAAACTGAAAAGTGCTTTCATTGTTCTTCGTCTCAAAGTTACGGCATTTCAAAAAAATTACAGAAACTCAAACCTCATTGCAAATTTCAAACGGCCCTAGCAGTACTGTTTTGACTGATTCTTTGATTGATTTCGATTACACCAAAAACTGTGCATTGAAGAACAAAGATCTTTGAATAAATCAAATAATTCGGAAGGACTCTTCAGTAATTTAAACCAAACAAACCAAAACTAAGTGAAGTAATACACATAGAAACCATCTCAAGAACATTTTTATTGAGACCCGTGTATATAGCATAAATCCCAAATACACCATTTTGTGGTGCGCCTGACAGAGGCGTAACTTACAGATTATGTTAGGTAACAAGAAATATATATACACAAAAACTTTTCAACAAGTCTAAATTGAAAACAACGTTCAAACCTATGATTGCGTTGGATAAAAACCGCAATTTTTATACGTGTGCATGCAAAACACACAAAAACTTTTCAATATATACAACTCAAGCTCGGGGAACATTACGTGGCATCAACACATCAAGAGAAATGAAACTCTACCTTTTTTGATGAAATACGTGACTTTATGGTGACTCATTTTACCTTACAGGACGGAAAAAGAAGCCATTCTTTTCTATTCTGATTGGTCGTCCAATCAAAGTAAGGATGTGCCAATCGAATATGTGAACTACTTGCTGGCAGCATCGAAGCAGAATTGCTTCAATATCACAGATGAGATTATAAAGAAAATGGTTAAAAAACTCCAAGAAAAAAATGATACAAATTCTGCAGACAATGATCTCATGTCATGTTTGCATGGTAAGTGTAATTTTATAGAAAAACAAATTTGATGAAGGTTTTATAAGGATCATATCTAGTATATATTCTGAGGTCTACTTCCGGTTCAGCGTGTCGGTTAAGTACAAAGCAGGGTGTATATTCATATCACATTATCGTGTTCTCGTCCTGAATTTGCATTTAGTTTGCTACTGGACACGTTAAACAGCCATCCATCTATCCATCCATTCATCATCTACCTTTAAAGAATACTACAATGACAAACATTTTGATGAAAAGTAATAACACGTACATACATTTGAAGTATATCATGTCTTACAAAATTATATCAATACATGTAACACAAGAATTAAAGCCATTACCGCCTCCAAATGTCTCTGCCTGGATTATTCTGGGAAATTGTAATAACTAGATATATATATATATAATATTTAATATGGAATGGCAAATATTATGAACTTATGAACAAAGTTCTGCATAAAATTGAAGAAATACACGTTCAAATGTTTTAGAAAATATCACCCTTTCACAAAATATCTTACGACTTTATGGTCAGATCAATTCGTAAGTCGAATAAATTGTTTATTGACTAACGACTGTTTTTTTCTAGATTTTTTTTTATGAAATATATCTTTCAGGAATACCGCTTGGTGATCTTTCAAAGGATCCTAACCGTCATCTAGATACGTTATATTTAGAAGCAAGTAAAGAACAGGAAAAATATGTGAAACTGCAATCATTTTTAAAGTCGGAAATGGTGAGCATAATTATGATCTGAATGCTTATAAAAATAAAATAAAAAAATAAATTAAATTAAAAATTGTGCTATTGGACGAAGAAATCTTGGCAGATGTTGGACCAAATCCGTAAAGTAAAACTAAACTTCAATGTATTTCATTATTTTCATGTCTACATTTTTGTATTCGTTGTATGTCTTACTGCGAATGGGTATGCATTCATATTAGGAATACTTTTACAAAATATATATTGAGTACAAAAATAATACTGGGGTATTGTTTAAATCTTATAAAATTCCCATGTCCTTGACGTTCAGTAATACAGCTTTAGATTTTTAGAATCTTTTCGTCATGAAATAGTTAGCTGGTTTATTAAGATTGACCCTTATACTGTGATCTGACCTTATTTTTTTGTCCGGTAAATGGTAGCGAAAAAGAAAAAAAGAACTTATCAAAAGTGATCAAGAAGTTGCACTCGTTGTCGTACGAATCATACCATTACTGGTATTTCAAAAGTATCGGAAAACAGGAAGTAGTTCTCTGATAGGTCTGAAAAGCACTCAAACGTTACAAGTCAGCACAGTCAATCTGCAGAACAAATATATTTAGTAATTATGTTCAGTTGTACTGTCGAAATGTGTGACGAACATATGAACATATGCTCATTGTTGAAGGCCGTACGGTGACCTACATGTATAGTTGTTAATTTCTGTGTCATTTGGTCTCTTGTGGAGAGTTGTCTCATCGGCAATCATACCACATCTTCTTAATTTTATATATGAAGTTCATTCAACCTTATAACTGAGCTTACACGTTACAACTAAAATTCATCTCCCAAGCATTTGACACTTGTATGAGGTCAATCTGTTCGGAAGTACTTAAGAAGGTTGGGATAACCAATATGTGTTTGACGAACGGACGGACACAGTGATTGCTATTAATAAAACTCCAACTCCTATACCCTAGTGTAGGAGAATAATAGTCACCCTTTAAAAAAAACATGTAACACAAGTATAAAATATGTCCATATTACTTTTAGGTACAGTTTTACATGGAAGGTACATGTACAGAACTAGATGAATCAGCATTTGACAAAACAGCAACCATGCATTATTTATACGGACGTCAATAAAACCAGCAGTTTTCATCTACAAATGGTGTAAATTCTATATAGACTGATATTATTTTTCAAAGATTTATTATTGTCATTTAAATATACATAGTTCAAATTACAATTAGAGTTTGTTTTACTACTTTCCTTGACCCAAGTTGTCGTGGCATATCTTTATGGTTATCTTTTTGTATACTTCGCATGACAATATTGATTGTCGTGGTACGTGTTTGCCTCGAGTGCGGGAGGTCGTGGTTCGAACATCGGCCGGGTCAAACCAAAGACTTTAAAATTGGTATTTGCTGCTTCTCCGCTAAGTACGCGGCATTTAGGAGTAGGAGCAAAGTCTGGTTGACTCGGAGTCAGAATAATGTGTCCGGGTAAGGTGACATGTCTTCCTGCAGACTGTTACCTTGAGAACTAGCACGTTAAAAATCCGGCTCAGCGTGTCGGTCTAGTACAAAGTAGGGTTAATATTCATATAACATTAATATGTTCTCGTCCTGAATATGCATATCAATCTGCCGCTGGACGTTAAACAGCCATTCATCATCATCATCATCATCATCATCATCATCATCATCATCATCATCATCATCATCATCATCATCATCATCATCATCGATTGATCGATTGATCGATTGATCGATTGACGCCCAATGGCAAATATTTCGCGCGTGTTCGGGATAACAAATCAACAATTTCAAATGCATTAAGCAGGTTCGATAAAGTGGATTAACCGAGATAAAGGGATATGATTTTGCCACTGGAAAGGAGGGCATGTTGAAAATAGGGCAAACATTTTATATTGCTACGTTGTTCTCTGTCTACACGGGGCATCATATGTTAAGTCACAATTTCGACTGGGCGTGGCTGCGCACTTATACATCCCTCACAGCCAAACGGACGCCCACTTTAGGAAAGGTTTTACTGCCGGACGGGAGTAGTCCAAAGGATGACCATATTACCACACCCTAGTCAATCCTCGAGAGTTTTTTGTCATTAGATTTACTTAAAGTTCAGTCTAAGTAAATCTTGTCAGTAATAATGAGAAAAATGTATTTCTTCTAATCATACATTATTTCTAAGACTGTGGTAAAAATATGGCATTCAAGGAACTAATCCTAATAATATAATATGTCGGACGGTGAACATGATATATTGAAATCCTAAAACAAGTGTCGTCATATAGGGTTGATTCGGTCCATTGATGTAAGAAAGTTAAGCTAACATTTTTCGTGTTTTGATAATTCAAATGTCTGTAGCGACGACTGTATTGGTGTTTTTTTTTAAATGACAAATTAGGGAGTACCTGCTATCATTCCACAATTTGTGCTTACCAAATGACATTCACGATCGCCAGGCTACACATAACAAAGTATTCTATTTAACCCTTTTTAAAAACGTCGAATACCGCGCAGCTTTTCACTGTAATAGTATATGTTATGCAAAAAAAAAAAAAACGCAATTTCAATGCCAAAAAACGCCCTTCCAATCTTTCTTCGTTTTGAGTAAACTTTTTTTAAAGACTTCTTGGCAAATTCTAAAAGTATAATTATACATGATTCGAATGACGAGTGATGCATGCACAGCAAGATATACTTACCTGTAAGTCACATTATTTCACTTGTTGTTAATCTGACGAGCGTTCAAGAATTGATGTGGTAAATTATATTTACTAGATTAAGATTTTTCTTAAATATTAATGGAATTGAAATATCTGAGAAACAACCACCATTTAAATATGTAACATACATATTCATGGGTGGTTTTGGGGTGTTGTCTTTACTTGTCTGTTGGATATGTTATGACTGCTTGAATTAAAGAGAGTTATTCCCTGATTTTTGTTGGAGTTCATGGAGCTCAATCTTTATTTGTAGTGTTTTGTGTTTTGTGTTTTGTGGATTGTTGATTATATGATCGTCTGTTTTGTGGATTGTTGATTATAAATTATGATTGTCTGTTTTGTGGAATGTTGATTATATGATCGTCTGTTTTGTGGATTGTTGATTATATGATCATCTGTTTTGTGGATTGTTGATTATATGATCGTCTGTTTTTCATTTATTCAGATGTTGTCCGTCTTTCTTCGACTTGTAGTTTTTGTCTCGCCTGCGACGAAAGTCGGAGAAGGCGAAACATAGGTGTTGCTTTTCCAGCGGAGTCAACAATTGTTAAGTTTTCTGCTTAAGTCAGTTTGATAGGAACTACTTGTGATATATCAATGATATGTTCTATAAAGTTGCATTACTATCAGTACATACCAGTTTGACGACTATTTTGAAGCCCTGTCCCCTAGGTCATAATCCAGTGACTTTGAATTAATTTGGAATTTTTCAATGTTAAGTTTCTTCAGTCAGTTTGATAGGAACTACTTGTGATAGATCAATGATATTTTCTATAAAGTAGCATTACTATCAGTACATTTTAGTTTGACTATCATTTTCCTACGCTGCCCTCTATGTCATGGTCCAGTAACTTTGAATTAATTAGCAATGTTGCTGTCCATCAGATTGTCTTTTTCTGAATTTTCTGCCGACAGGTGAGACATATAAGTTTATTTATACAAAGATATGTCTCGCCTGTCGGCAAAATTCAGAAATCTTCTTTTTTTTCTTTTATAGGTTTTGCAACGTCAAATTCCATTTTCAATATTAATGAAAAATTAGTTGTTACTACAAGTGGCAAAGAAAGTATATTTTTTCTGTGTTCAGTAAGTCGAAATAACGTAAGTTGGAATCGTGAAAGAATGAATTATTTCAGATATTGTACAAAGCGGCATAACTCAATCATCAATTTCTAAAACCAACACTGTACCGGAATATGAATCACAGCCATTACGTCAAAATCATTCATTAGGTGCACGCACTATAAATCCTAATTAAATATCACCTAAGTAAAATAGCGGTACAGTATGGCCACCTACACATGACAAACAACAATTCTGGCAAATATGAAAGTTTTTGGGACAAAAGATCTCAGAGAGTCATATTGTTACCATAGGCGAAAAATGGTCAAAGTTATATAAAACTATTGTAGCAAAAATAGCCAAATTGTATTGACAATTTATTTTAATCAGTTATCCATTATGACAAACAATACCTCTAAGTCATGAATAATAACTAAAAGACAACAACACCCATAGTTGCCACACTTAACTGGTTTATTTAGGTCTACATGTTTTGTATGTGTGGCGTCTTCGGGACAATTGAGCGGTTTTCACAGCTTCTGAAGTACATAAATAGCGGTGACAAATTTTAACTATTTGATTGTCCTACCAATTTATTTTCCAATGTACGAGGTGTGGTTCACTATACCCAGCTACAATCCCATTCATTTGTAAAAGCTTCCGGACAGACGGACTTTGATGGGTAGCGCTTACAATGTTATACGGACGGACGAAGCCTATTAATATGTTTATTCATAAGGTGATGGGATTGATTAAGCAAGACCCACAACTAAAAATAAAAGAAAAAAAGTCGGGATTATAAATGAAAACACATCAAATACAAAATTTATTACAAAAAGATATAGAAAGCAGTTTTATCCACAAGTATTTATGTAAACCTATAATCTAAATGTACAAATTAGAGTTATAAAGGTACATTTTACATCGAAATATCTATCATATATATATATATATATATATATAAACAAGTCTAAATTGAAAACAACGTTCAAACCTATGATTGCGTTGGATAAAAACCGCAATTTTTATACGTGTGCATGCAAAACAAATTTCTTTGTAGAGGGGTCTAAATACAGCACTAACAACATTTTCCAAAAGACCAAAAAAGTGTAAAAAGTATATTTTAACAAAACGCATTTGACTAGCAGGTCGAACAACGGATGTTCTTAAACCCTGCTGACTGCCATGGCGATTGCCAAATAAACGGATCACAGATGTAACACAATGGATCTTAATTATATTAATTTAATACCAAACAGAAAACAATAAACTTGCGGAAAAGATGGTATACCGCAAACATGAGGTGCAAAAATTTGTACACCATATCCGGATTTCGACAATTAATGTCTCTTCAGTGATGTTAGGAATCGAAACGGTATTTGGAAGGCCATATAATTTACCTCAATTTGGGATTGACTCTTGAATTTTGAAGAGTCGAAATAGGATGAACGGATCATATAAACCCGAAGGCAAATATAATACAAGCCCAAACGAAAAAATATAAACAAGTCTAAATTGAAAACAACGTTCAAACCTATGATTGCGTTGGATATATATATATATATATATATATGGAAGTGTTTTGTAAAACTTCAAATAGATAAAATGATCAGTAAATATGTCATGAATCTGTTAAATAGAAAATCATTTAATTTACATTAAGCCCAATAATCTCATAACTGAAGAAGTTAAAGCATCCATACATTCGTTCAGACAGATTATAGATTTACAAAAAAGAAGTTATTATAATTATGATGACAAGATGATATATTGCGGCATTAAAATGAGAAACGTACAAAAGAGTCAAATATATGATGCCCAACATTAGTCATAAACAATTCAAAATAAAAAAAAATGGTCAAAAATGGAGTTAATAATGATATTTTACATTTTCATGATAAATACTACTTCTGTATAACTGACAACTTACTGGAGGATAATCTCAAGAATTAAGAGTCCACTGCAAGTGGTATAAATACAATGGAAATAAATCGAGTAAATGGTACTAAACGTTAACAGACAGACGATTTTCTATTATCATAAATAGCCATTATATCGGTAAATATTTCCTGAGTATTTACAAGAAAAATAGTATTAAAAGGTTCATTTTTCAAAATAATATTTGTTCATATTTTATAAATGAACGTATACAACATACAAGACTGAAAATGCTGTGATATTGTAAACTTTTTCATAAATGTACGTGTTCAATCTACAAAATTGTGAATGCTTTGTTATCGCAACCTTTTCCCGACATGTCTGTTTCTTTTTCTTGGTTTCTGCAGCATACGAATATTCCCAAGACACTGGAAATTAGTTTGTCAATTGGTTTCAAGGACCGACAACACAATGGCAAAAAGTTCCAATTCCTCAACCAACTTGGTAGCCTGCCGAGGCAATATTTTTGTGCAATATTTATAACAATCAGACACACTAAGATTAATAATATAATTGAACCGACAACAGCAAAAGGTACCGTTCCTGCTAATGATAACACAAAAACTAATCCTGGAAGGGCGATGAAAACGAGTATCAAATATAAAATAGAAAACCATCGATACTTTGCTGTTATATTGCCAAGTCCTTTTGCTAGGTTTATGGGTGCCTTTCTGGTAATTGGAATCGGGTAGAACAAAAGAACTCCAGAAATGTTGAAAAATAAATGACAGAGAGCAACCTGTAGGGCATTTGGTATCGCTTTTGCCGGATTGGCTAATGCAGCTAGTATGCCTGTCAGGCAAGTTCCGATATTAGCACCAAGAGTCAGAGGAAGCATACGATCAAGGGAAACAACTCCAACACCAACTAACGGGGTAAGTATAGATGTAAACACGGAGCTACTCTGGATAATCATCGTTGTCCCTGTAAAATAGTCATTTTGTTAGAATCTTGTGAAAAGGTGAACATTTTACATCTTGTAAAACGATTTCTGAATAAATGGTTTCTAATGAATATTGTAGTGCAACAGATTTGAGACGTTTAAACCGACAGCGAATAAGTGATTAACTTATAATCTAGATCTGTTCACATTTGAAATCAAATTAACTCAACGCCAGTGATCCACCGATCACCTGCTTGCATTAGACTGGCAAAAAACGCCTTGCAAACAAATAATATAGCCAACAGATACATCTTAAAGAGACCGAACATGTGTCACGGATCAGTGGCTTAAATTGCATTTACTCATATTAAATTTTACCTTCGAATTCAATTTCAAACATAAATGAGTCAACAACGAAACATTTTATCTGCCTATATCGTTGTGCTCTTCTCTCAAGTGCATCCCGTGCCACAGCTTTTGACGTCAAAAAGATTTCACCCGACGTTACCATATTTAGCACGCTTCAAAAACAGACAGACGTTTTATATCAAGAAAAATACTCATTGACAAATAGATTATTAGTCTTTATACTTATAGATATTGTAAAATAATACCCAGTCGACACAAAATTAATCATGTTAGTGTTTTTGCTGCATTAACTTTAAAAAGCTTTCATATTGTGAGTCGCTGCTTATATTTCATGAAATCTAAATATCTTAAAACTTGATATATATCAGGATTTTAATATATAGATTTCATAAAATATCAGAAGCGATTAATTATATACTTATTGCCGCTTTAAAAGGTATACCATCTAAAGATCATCACAAGGCCGCTAATAAATAAGATTTACATTATGGAACATGTAAAGATCTAACAACAATGCACATCTAGGTCATTTGGTTTGTGTTGGAGAGTTGTCTTATTGGCAATCATACCACACCTTATTTTTATACTTTCCAAAAACTGAAAATACTAATTTACAAGATTTCTTCAATAACTATTTAGAGGGTTAAACAAGAAATCTATAGATGCACAATTAGATTATCAATTCAAATATATCTACCTTAAAGTATAATTATACTAACCTGTTCCTATAAGGATTGCAACATATCCTGTAAGATATTTGAACAATCCCGGAAAATCAGAATTGATGAACCTTTTTACAACTTTGGCTACAGATCCTTTCAGCAGTGAATTAAGGAGTTTGACCATGAAGATCAACGCCACAGCAATAACAAAGAGCGATATTACAAGAAGCAATGCACCAATGGTTGAATCCGACAGATCCGTCTGAGCAAACAAGTTATGACCTACATGAAAAAGAAAAATAAAAATGATCACCGACCACGTGTTGTTACATGCAATGGGATACACAAGAACAATACGTTATTGTGTGTTAAATTATATGTTTGTATATATATGTGCCTCACCCTTTCGTTTCTTTGCACAAACAAATTAGTAAAAAGTCGTTTTTTACATATGCGAATTTTTTAGAAACAAAAAAAAAAAAAAGAAAAGAAAAAGGTGACTTTTTTCTTCTTTTACTATATAAATCTGAATGTTCAATAGATAAATTGTTAATAAAAGAAATTGACATATGAATTCGGTTAATTATGTATTGAATCATCTTCATTAACATTTTTTTTCAATAGCATATGATATAATAGTATAAGACCCGTATTTGAACATCAATTGCGCCCTTAATTCCTTCCCGTTTTAAATTTGCAATTCCAGATGTTTTGCTCATAAAGTTTGAAATCTGTGGAAAAAACAACTTTAAATTGCTCTAAAAGTAGTCATGTTTGCATTACAAAACCTAAAACGTACTGGCCATGAAGCCAAGGAAACTCGATTGAATGCTGCTTACTTCAACTAAGTGGCAATTATTTTATGCATATTCAAGACAAGAAACTATTAACAATAAATACAAAATGTAGGTTCTGAAATGTGGCATAAGAAGGGGGAAGGACGGGAAATTTGAACTGCTACTAGAAAACCATGGTATGTTGGATAGGGCCAAATTTTGCCTTACAACAAGCCATCAACGGAAGACTCAAAATGTTGTTGCAAGGGTTCTTTAATGTGTAGTAAGCATCAAATTTAACGTTCCCATTCTGACCGTATGTGGATGCGAATTTAAACATCCAACACTGACACGGGCGCCCCATTTTGGCACGGGTTTTTACTGCCGGTCGGAAGAAGACAAAGGTGACAATTTTTCTATACACCAGTCACCTTTGGAGTTATAATTAATTCGAATACATTATATGATTTGTATATCACGAAAGCGTTTCCCAATGATCTTTTCCATTGAAAAGAATTTCTCATATACATACGGATTTCTAATAGTGACCAGGCTTAGGCCTATTACATGTAAGAGGGTCTGGATGCGTTTTACAGAATAGATAATAATGGGCCAATATTGCAGAAAAACGGGTAAACAATTAAAGAATAGAGATAAATAGGCAAACAGAAAAAAATAAAGAATAGAGAATAACGTGGTGCTAAAATATAAAGAATAGAGAATTATTGGAAAACATGTAAAGAATAGAGAAAAATGACATAAAGAATGAAAGAATACAGAAATTTCTAGATAGACCCTTTATTAATAGTTGGAGGGAGGTAATTTCAAGCTTGCGCTATTATAACGGTGTACTTACATCTTTCCATATTTATTTTCTTTACCAGTGTCTCGTTGGTTTCCCATTTAATGAAAGACGTGTTACTATCGGACATTATTCCTAAAGTGTATCTGGTTCCCTCTGTTTCTAACTTTTCAATTAAGGTAGAATCTAAATAAAGTAAGGTACCAGTAGACAGACATTTGAATTATACCGACCAAATCACAAGATAAGATGCAAACAATGAGTTTGTATGCTTAACATGTTATCAATGAAAGGGGATGATTGAGTGATAAAAACTAGTTTTGTACAATGTTGTTTGTCTGTTCCTTGTTTTTTTATTGGTCATGGTGGTGTATGTTTTTCCGTAGACTAATGGATTTTGAAATCCTCCTTGGTTATGTGCCGGTGCTGAAACAAGAACCTGGTCCTCGGTGTTATTATTGAAAAGTATTGTTCTTTTAAATAATGTGGTGTGGATGTCATATCTTTGATAGTCTTTGCTAAATTTATTCACAAGATTATTACACTCGGTGCGATTTAGAACTTGACAATATTTATAGACGTTTGTCTGCTGCTGAAGACCTTATGTTGACTATATATATAAAGATAAGGAGATGTGGTATAATAGCCAATGAGATAACTATCCACCAAAGTTCAAATGAAGTGGAAATAAGCAATGTATATTATAGTGTTGTCGTTTGGTTGACGTCTCATTACGAATACCCAACATCTCTTTTACTCACATTGGTTTTACTTAAAATCAATTAAAAGAAGGCCCTTTATGTTTAAACTGTTTCAACAATATACTATTTTAATATTACCGACTTTTGACTCCGGAGTGTATAATTTTTCGACATGCTACCTACTCTGTGATAGGACATTTCAAATTGGTACTCGGTCAAATAAGAGCAACTAAAAGAGGTACAACCAAGCTTACATTTGGTGCAATTTCGGGGGAGGGGGAGGGGGGGGGGGGGTAATTGTTTTCTGATGACTTTGTCGTGTATATATGGAAAACATGAAACATGTCAAAATATTATACACTCCGGAGTAAAAAGTCGGTAATAGAAATGAAAATAGATTTTATTAGTGAGGCGTCCGAAATAGCGACATCATTAAATTTCATATCAGTATCGGATTTATAAGACATACATATACTGCATCGAAGACATATTATCCTTTTTTTCTGGTAAAACGATAATAACCCAAATCCGAAACTTGTGTTTTTTGTCATTACAAATGCATTTTTAGTACTGATACTAACATTAAGCATTACTGGTGTATGAATGATTTTATTTATTCTACACACGCTTACAATATGTTGATGAACCGAAAATGGTTAAACAGCATTAAGTGGCAGAACATCACTTTTGGTTTTGATGTTATACCACATTTAATACCTGACGCTTTATAAAACTATACATATTTAGTTTGTTACCGCCCGAACATAGTCGAAACTTGTACATCCTCGTCCTTTGGTCTCTGGTGGATATTTGTCTTATAGGCAATCACACAACATATATTCATTTTTTTTTAATATAAAGCTCCCCTAATGATACTATTATACAAAACTGAAAATATACTTACTATATTCTTCGTGATGACTCACAGTGCTGTTGTACGGAATATGTACAGTCTTGCACCATCTTTTTAATACTGAACCCTCTTCGGCACCCTCTTTATTCAATGCTATATTTGTAATCACGTGTTTGTCCACCTAAATTTGATATCAATAGTATTAGTTAGAAAAGGTTAGTACTTAATATGTTAAAGCTATATGTTGTGCGTGTAATTTATTGTTGTTTGCTTTACGTCCAGTGGCAAATATTTCATTCATTTTCAAGACGAGGATAATAAATCTAAAAGCTAGGCTCTTTATAGTGGGTCGACAGAGTTGAAGGTAGGAAAACTACACTGCCACTGGAAAAATATAATTGATTGATTGATTGGTATTTAACACCACTTTCAGCACTATTGTGCTATTTCGTGGCGGTCAGTTTTTATTGGTGGATGAAGCCGGAGTTCCCGGAGAGAACCACCGACCTTCGGTAGGAAAACCTGGAAAAATATGCTAACTATATTAAATGGGGTTCTAGCGCCTGTGACAGCATACATGTACATGAACTTAAATGATGTATAGTTGCTCAGAAGATGTACTTGCGACTGTATCAAATTGAAAAAAAGACATAAAATGTTATGATTCAAAACTATTTAATAAAGTTCGTACAAGAGAACCTCACCCAGGTCAGGCAAGACAAAACCAAACGTCTCGGGGTTAGATAATTTTCAAAAAAACAACCCTTCATTGTGATCCAACTTTCATCGTTTAAAGATAATGAATTTTTTTTTCTATTTTGAACCGTACTTTCCAAACAGTAATAGGTACCTTTACAATAAGACCAGTAAATGGTTTTGTAATAACTTTCAGCAAATCTTTCTTCTTTCCAGATTTTGAAAGCTCTAAACTGCGCACGATTACTCCTGTTAAATGGTATAGGTAGTGAACAGTCGATTCAATCGGAAGCAATACAATAACAGTCAACCAATTAAACATATCGTGCACTGTTGCGCCGCCGAAAGCCTTTCGAAACACCTCTCTGTCGCTAGATTGTGCCAATGAAACCAGAGTATTTGTCACTGAAGTTCCGATATTTGCTCCCATTACCATTGGTATGGCGGTTTTTATTGGAATAACTGAAACGAGAAGAAAAAAATGTATATTCTTCCGTGTTAATTCTTCAGAAAATTGAGTAAATCCAAGCTCCCAATCTTATTCAATTTATTATATTACACATGTATAATGATGTATTTTCTTACTTTCAGATCCTACCATCGTTATTATTATGGACGTCGTAGTTGAGGAACTTTGTAAAAGAACTGTCACCAAAACACCAATCATTAGTCCAGCAACAGGATTAGTTAGTAAGTCGTTTTCTCTAAAAACTTTTCCAGCAGCTTTACCTAACAATGAAAATAAAATACATGTATTAGACAAGTGGCTATTAGCCAAAAACAAATTAACCGCTATGAAAATTTTGAAGCAAGTCGAACAGTTAAAAGAAAATTATTGCAACAGAAGAAAATCTCAATTTTATCAAGGTCAATAGCAGACTTTCGAGTAAAGTCGGAAAACTCTGTTTTTTCCTTAATTTTTTTTTAGTGAATTCAACCTTAAAGTTCGTATTTCTTGCCAGTTTGAGAACAATGGATGTATTTTGCTTTAAGTAATTCATTGACACCGTTACTACTTAGATTTGTTTTACCCGAATTGGATCCGTGTTTATGTTGTCAATGATACCGGTCACATAGAGTTATAGTGTCGTTTTGTACGTTCTTCAATGTACCTTTGGTTATTCCACTAATTGAGAATACAAGAGACGAGTTCAGTGGTCTAAATATTATTTAATGACGTCACATGTTAATGTGTTTGTCTCAAGTCAGAAACCTTTTCATTGGTTGTCTTTTCTTATCTTAATATTCCTATGACATTGTCTTTTTCACTCTTACTATTATATTATCTGAAGACCAACAATCTTTGCCAAAACACACGAGGACGGCAATACCATTATTTCTATTTGAAAATCTACATAAAAAAATTACCAGAAGTTTGATTACAAATAACAACAATGGTAAGCAATTTAAATAAGGACTAACAAGGCGTTTTCATTTTGTTGTTGTTGTTGTTTTGCACAATAAAATAACATTAGAATTTTAAAAAATTGAAATAAATTACCTCCGACTAACTTAAAGGCATTACTAAGGAACCCTAATGCACATATAAATAGGTATAAAAATCCAAAGATAAGAATAATCTTCAACAGCACAGTTAGTAGATAAGTAAATCTATTACATACTGTCATATCTGAAAAAAAATCAAGATCAAATTACTGCAAGATAAATGCAATGCATTGTCGATGAAAGTAAAGAATATTACACGCGGGTTCAAATCTAATATTCGCATGTGCTACAGAATTCAGTAAATAAAAATAAACATTTCTGGAAAACCTTGAATTTCTTCTGATATATAAGAGAGGAAAAAGTGTGGGAAGCCCCAAAAATAAATTTGTATAACAGCATCAAAACCAATCTTAATAAAAATGCACAATCCGTCTTAAATCATCTTTGACAGATGGTCCCAGGAGTGTCAACCTTATAAAATGAAAATTTGCAATTGAAATGTATTGTTTGAATCATACAAATACTGAAACAGTTCCTTCTTACGAACTTGAGACAACATTCCACCACAAGCAGCATTGACCCAGTTGTTATGATATAAACATATTTATTCTTAACTGTTCAATTTCGCATACGATTACTCATTTCTGCTCGATTTGGCCTGCAAACTGTTTTGATTCGACCGCCACTGATGAGTCTTGTGTAAGCAAAACGCGTGTCTTCCGTTTTTGTCGAGCCTGCGACTTCTGTCACAGAAAGCTAGCTCGACATAGGGATAGTGATCCGGCGGCGGCGGCGTTAGCTAACTTCTTAAAAGCTTTATAATTTATAAGGTGGAAGACCTGGATGCTTCATACTTTGTATATAGATGCCTTATGTTATTAAGTTTCCGTCCCGTCTGTCATATGTCCATTGTCCTTAACCTCATTTTCATGGTTCAGTGACTACTTGAAAAAAAGTTAAGACTTTTTGTAATGTTAATTTCTTTCTTATTATGAGTAATAGGATAACTATATTTAGTATGTGCGTACCTTGCAAGGTCCTCATGCCCGTCAGACAGTTTTCATCTGACCTCGACCTCATTTCATGGATCAGTGAACAAGGTTAAGTTTTCGTGGTCAAGTCCATATATCAGATACTATAAGCAATAGGTCTTCTATATTTGGTGTATGGAATGATTGTAAGGTGTACATGGCCAACTGCCAGGTGTCATCTGACCTTGACCTCATTTTCATGGTTCAGTGGTCATCAAAGTTAATTTTTTTGTGTTTTGCTCTATTTTTTAATACTATATGCAATAGGTCAATTATATTTGGTGTATGGGAATATTTTATGATGTACATGTTAGTCTCACAGGTTTTATTTGACCTTGACCTCATTTTCACGGTTCATTGCTCAGTGTTAAGTTTTTGTGTTTTGGTCTGTTTTTCTTAAACTATAAGCAAAAGGTCAACTATATTTAATGCATAGATTGATTGTAAGGTGTACATGTCTGTCTGGCATGGTTCATATGACCTTGACTTTATTTTCATGGTCATTAGTCAATGCTTAGTTTTCCTGGTTAAGTCTGTTTCTTAGAAACTATAAGCAATAGGTCAACTATATTTGATGTATTGAATGATTGTAAGGTGTACATGTATTTCTCGTTTGGTTTATCTGACCTTGATCTCATTTTCGTGGATAATGTTAAGTTTGTATGATACTTGTAGTAAAGCTTTATATTTAGGACTATCAACATAAGTGCAATGGTCATTAAAGAAGGCGAGACATTTCAGCGTATGCACTCTTGTGAATTGTAAGTCTAGCATCTTTGATAAGTTTTTTAATATGTGTTGAAATAACACAGTTTATCCCAATCGGCCGTATTACCAAATGTGTACTTACCATGAGCACAATTACGGGTGCCACTAGTTTAACAGGATCTGCTTAGCCTTCTACATGATATCACCATTTGGCTTTGGTGGTGTTCGTTTTGCTTATTCTTCAGTTTTCTGTGTACAGGGTTTTTAGGATTGGTTGGTCCTTTTTTTCGTACTTTCGTTTTTGCCATTGCGTTGTCAGTTTAATATCTTCGACTTATGAGTTTTGAATATCCCCTTGGTATCTTCCGTATCTTTTAAGGAATTCTTGGCTTTTTACAACAAAAAAAACCCCAAAAAACAGTAGTACATAAATACCCTATATATCACTTATAATAAGACTGACCTTTCCAGTTCACCCCGTCATCAGACTCTTTTGTGCTGATCGCCCACGGATCAAATTCTTGACCATCTTCTTTGTCATGGCTTTTAAAAGTATTCGTTTTTGAAATATCTCTTTTATCCTTAGCTGTCGTGTCTGAAACCTTTTATTAGAGAAAAAACAGTCCATTGCATGTAATAAACATAAGAATCTGCTTACATGGCTAATGTAAAATGGAAAAGTCTTTAGAATTTTACAATGACGTCAAAGTCTCTTTGTTTGACATAAAAGATAAAAAAAAAAAGAGAGCGAAAAACAGACCACACAAATCAACAGCCCTTATCCCGTCGCAGTAGCACAAAATACAGAAACAAAATGTTCTAGCGCCAAAAATGTTTTGGAGAATTATCTTTGATTGACTCTGTTATAATTCAAAACTTGATATATTGGGGAAAAAAGACACCTGTCCATTGTTGTAGACTGTATGTTGCCCTCTAGATGTCTTTTAGTTATTTTTTGTTGTTGGCGTTCTGTCTCATTGACGCATACCAAACATTTTAGTGATTAAGATTAAGGTCATTTCTTTTTAAAGCTTCTATCACGATGCAAAAACATTCCTTTCATCCTTATAAAATTATCAATAACAGTTATCTAATGGGTAGAATATGTCAATTCACCTATTTCATTAAGTTTGTGATCGAAACATGTTACTTTCAACTTTATATGGGTTAATATGGATGACAAAAAACTCTTATGAATTCGAAGGGGTGAAAAAAACCTTTTCAACTAGGAGGCAATGGGTGGTTAATGTCGCAGATAATATCGACCAAAAAAAAACGAAAACAAACAAACAAAAGGCAATTAGATGTTCCTTGTAGGCTGATACCATGCTCTGCACGTTTAAGAAGCATTTCAATAACTCTCTGACGAAGCCAAGGCACAATTTCTGCCCCTATCGAACATAATGACCTCATTTTCCTATGGCAGTCCAAAACCCCCACCCCTTCATTCCGGTAAACCTACCGTTCACAACCTACCTATTCTATTTAGTGTTAATGTATTCTAGTCCCGAATGTTCATGAGATATTGGCCATTGGACAATATGCACCCAACAATCAATCAATCATTGTTGCTTCAAAATTTAATAACATTTGACAGGAAAACTTTTCACTGGCTTTACACTACATATCTTTATTTGCCTCTTAATGCAATGCTTCGATACTATGAAGCAAAAGACAAGTTATATGTGATAACCATCCATCAACCCATCCCACCTCAGAAAATCTTTTAAATGTTTTATACTAAATTTTTCTTCGGTACAAAAATTAGGAAACGGCCAGAGTAAAACCACTCAGCCCAAGGTTCTAGTCATGTTTTTTTTTCGCAACATTTATTTTGTTATTCCATTATTGAAGGTAAATCAAGAAAAGCGCTTCGGACGCATGAAATTTCTTAGACGTTTTTTTTCATTTTTTATTATAGTGTTTTGTTGTATATAAAAGAAAACGATTACTCTCACTGAGAAAATCAGTACAATACAATAAAATATGCTTGTAAGACATGGATGACTCAATATAACATCAAACTATTACTAATGTGAATTAGTTACACTACTTTATACGACTGAGATATTATACTAGTGGAAAAAAGAAACTATGTATTTCTAAATACATGGCAAATATTTAAAACATTAAGTTTACAATTTGCAATTGAGATGATTAAACTAAATTTATGTTTTTAGCAGGTTTGAAGATGAGAAATTCCTCTTTTTATACTTCATCATGGTTCATGAACACACGATACTGTGTAGTTAGGTGATTTTACCGTTTGAGTTGTTTTACTGCAACTTATTCTACAAACATTGACGCAAAACAAAAATTGAAAAATTGAGTATGTGTTCAAGAATAATGCAAAATCCGTCGCGCGGAGATGCGTACCACCGGGTTTCTTCAAACACATTGTTTAAACGAGATGGTTACCTATAACTTATAAATTAATACATTCTGTATGAGTATGTCCCAAGTCAGGAGCCTGTAATTCAGTGGTTGTCGTTTGTTGCTGTATATCATATTTGTTTTTCGTTCATTATTTTGAAAATAAATCATCAGGCCGTTAGTTTTCTCGTTTGAATTGTTTTACATTTGTCATTTCGGGGCCTTTTATAGCTGACTATGCAGTTTGGGTTTTATTCATTGTTGAAGGCCGTGTGGTGGCTTATAGTTGTTAATTTCTGTGTCATTTGGTCTCTTGTGAATAGTTGTCTCATTGGCAATCATACCACATCTTCTTATATATTGTAAATAGTTTAAGACATTTTTTAGGATGCACAGTATCTTTCTTTCTGTCGGTAGTATATAAAAACCAGGATATTCGTTTCGAATATTCTCTATTCCCTCCTTTCCTGCAAAATAAATGATCGTTCTCTAGATGATTCAATTTGATTGTTAATGTTCAGTTTATAACTGCTGTTGCTTTGCTTTAAGGTAACAGATTCGTAAATGGTCAATCTCAGGGATTTTTATGAAATTTTGCAAGCAATTTGAGGATGTGGAACTGCATATAAATATCGAAAAAAAGATATGAATTACTTTTATACTTTCGAATATATAGGAAATTGAATATTCTGTAGAAAGAAGTACAAATGTATGGGATGCACGTAAATATAGAAAAAAATATTGAAAAGTTTAACTTTAAATTGCATTTTCTCAAAAACGTGTCCTACGAATTTCTTTAAAATTGATATTTTATTTTATTTTATTGATATGAAAGTTAAAGGGGATCACCGAATTTGTTTTTCTTGTATAAATCATTCAAGTGTCTCTGTAATATCTAAAAACGTCAAGAAGAAGATTTCTAGCCAAGACGTCACGATAACTTTTGCCTTTTCGGCGCTTTTTCCAAACTATACAGAAGATTCAACTGTTTGTACTAAAAAAACGAATTCGGTGACCCCCTGTAAATTTTATATCAATAAAATGGAGATTTCAGTAGCAATAACATATAATTTTTAAAGAAAATTCGTAGGAAAGAATTTCGAGAAATGTTGATTTTAAGTCAAAATTGCTGAACTTTTTAACGATATTTACGTGTATTCTATACATTTGTACTACTATTTTCCTAATATGTTATAATTATATCTCAGAAATTATAAAAGTTATATGTATATTTTTTTGTGATGTTCATGTGCAGTTCCTCATGCTCTAGTTGTATGCAAAATTTCATAAAATTCCGCGAGATCATCCATTTACGTACCTGTTACCTTAAACTCAGGTTACAACTCCCCTAGGCAAATTGCCTTTTATTACCTTAATTTTTTTTCATGCTCAAAAGTTAAATGTGAGTCGTTTTTCCTGCATCATATTTGTGGTCTCAAAATAACCT